AAAAAAAAAAAAAAAAGCCAAGCAATTCTAAAGCAGAATAAATTAATTGCACTACATTAACATGACCAGCTGACCTGAGCTCGGTAGATTCAGGCTTGCTCTCTTTCCTCGGGAAGAAACGGTTCTGTCCAAGTTAGAGCACTATCACATGTACAGTTTGAGATACAGTCCTGTCTTCATGTAAATCAACCCTGAGCCTAAATACTTATTCTCAGTCTCTGTGCTATAAAAGTTGAGTAGTTAAAGCATGATTCAAGTCAAATTAACAGATTTTCTTGCTACACAGCACATACTACAAAACAGAGGTAGAGATAATTACAGGACATGTCACTAAAGGTCCTTTTTCTGTCCCTTCATTTCTTTCTCACATAGTCTCATGACCACTAACTCTTCATAAAGCCCATTCATACAAACACTGAATTTAGAAAGAAAAAAATTCCTCTTAACTGCTTTGTTTTTTGTCTAAGGTTAGCTCTCATGATGTTATTGCATTAAGGAAAAAGAAACTCAAGAGGTACATCTTATGTCAGATTCCAGGATATTAGAACTGTGCTCTACAAAGCAAAGACAAAAACAAGTTTAACAAATTGCTTCATTAAATGCTGCTGCCTACCCAGATGAATGGGGATCTAATTCATCACCTACTTTGAAATCTTGCGGTCTGCTTCACTCCCTGGTCTCGTCTCTTGTTAGGTCAAGAGTTGGTAAACTTTAAATGGCTTTAAACTTTATAGTTTAAAAAGCCAGAGAGTGACTGCCAAGTTTTAAGTTAAATTTGTACTTAAGGAAAAAAGACAAAGTGGCTTCTATAAGATGATCCTAAGAAAATGTCCATGATTCCTGTCTAATGCCTCCTCTGCTTTGCCCTCTTTCCCTGCCAACCCCAATGCCCTCCAGCACTCACCTGGAGTAACACTGTTTAGTGAGATCACTGCAGTAACCCCAGATTAGTCTCACTTTCTAATCCTCCTGCAATAACAGGCCAGCCTGCAAGTGGATATAGGTAAAGAGGACTTCAAGTGCACCAGCAAGGAAATGGCATGCCAAGAGGAGAGCCCAGACTGATTTCTAGAGTTTAAAAGATCTTGTTGGTGTTATCATTGGTGTTTCTCTCTCTCTCTCTCTCTGTCTTTTTCCCTCTTTAATATTTCCTTTGTGTATAACTGTGTCCCCAGGCAGATGGCCAGTTCCACCCTGCTAATCACTTAGAGACCACAGATCTTCTCCCAGGTCTTCCCTAAAATACTGGCTAACTCCCTTGCCTAGAGCATGTTGTCTTCTGTCTGCCATAACACACCTCATCAATCATCTTGCTCCCTTAGCCCCTTCTCCTAATGTCTCCCTGATAATTCAGATCCTCCTTCTATGACAGGAATACTGATTGACTCAGTTGGTCACCACCCTTTCTGTGCTTTCTTTCCACCAGGACAGCAGTCAGTGCCTGTCACACAGATTCATCTGGCTGCTTTCACCAATCAGCTGCAAAGACACTGGTTAGCAGTGTGTGGACCTGGATTCAGTGATCACTAATGAGTCTGCATATTTCTCACCCTCACCTCAAGTTGCTAAAAATCACCTTTAAATATTAGGCAGCCATCTTTCTATTGTTCAGGAAAAGGTCTTAAGAGAGGCTAGATTTTTAAAACTCTAATACATAATTTGTACAATTTTATACATATACTATATGACTCATCATATTTACCCTCAAGGAAATTATAACTAATAGAGACAATCGCCTTTTCCTTCACCTCCCCCCACCCCACCCCCCCACACACATGTACAGTGAGGCCCCAGTGAAGTACCTTTAACTTGGTAAAGAAAAATAGGAATCTTTACAAGAAAAGGTAACATTTCAGATGGGCTTGTAAAAATGGGTCTGATATAGACAGAGACAGAGGAGAAGTGATGAATTCTAGGCTGAGAAAACTGCAAGAAGTTGGGAGAATCAGCAATAATTGAGTGTTGAAAGAAACCGGAAGCTTAATGTGGTCCAGAAACAGATGATACGACAAGATAAGATAATGCCATATTCTAAAAAAGGGGAGCACACCACGCTATGGAGTTTGGGATGAATCTCACCGGGAGAAAGAACTCTAAAGAGGGGCAGCACCTGTGGCTCAAAGGAGTAGGGCACCAGCCTGTGGTAGCAGGTTCAATCCCAGCTCTGATCAAAAACTACCAAAAAAAAAAAAAAAAAAAAGAACTCTAAAGAGAATGCTAGAAAAAGAGAAATCGGATTACAGTTATATCCTGGAAAGGTACAGAAAAGTCATTATATGCCCTGTTATTTACCAAGAAAATGAAATGAGAAATCAGCATTATGGGAGGATCAACATCCATTTTTCTAAGGCAAAGACTTTGTTAATACAAAATGTAATCTTAAAACCACAGAAAGGAGAAAGAGAAGGGAGAAAGAGGGGGAATGAATGTAATTGACTTTTAGGTCAGAATGATTAAAGGAGCTCTGTACTCTGTCCTACATACTCCATTAAATATAAAAAGAATTCTCCATTTTTAGTTCTCCATTAACCCTACTTTACAATGTTAGCATCATAAATTTGAAGTGGAAAAATTTTGAGGATCATTTTATGCAATGTTTTTACTCCTTTCCATGTTCTATAATCATTTTAATTAATTAAAAGGTAATATATATATTAATTCAAACATAAAAGTAGATGATATTGAAGATAAAGGTCTCTCTCCTACATTTTTATCCCTAGTCAACAAGTGATAAGAAGCTATTTATATTTGTGACTGCAATATATAAAGTAGAAAAAGATGAGCTGTAAGGGAAGAGTCATCTTTAATGATTATTAAGTCTAAATTAGTATAGTTATCTATAATAATGTAATAATATAGGACTGTTGCCTAATTCAATGTTTACCAGGTATTTAATAGTTATTCCACAAAAAGTTGCCACCGGAAAGAAATTAGGAGAGTACTCAGCAATTTCTGAGTAGAGATAGCCAACTGAATACACATTTAATTTTTCTCCCTCAAGAAATCCCACTAACACTACTGAAAAGGGTTTTTTAATTAAGTATACTCAATAATGGGAGGAGAAAATATTTTGGGAGGTTGAAATTAGATTAACAAGTAATAAGTCTAGGCAACTCACAAAAACTAAATCTTAAGCCAGCAGTATGAAAAGCAAAGAACTAATCTGATTTTTACATCAAAATCCTTCAAGTATTTTGGGATTTGTGGAACCAGGTACCTCTGGAAGTAAAAGTGGAAGGATGTATAGGGAAGAATTTATTTTACTCAAAGAGAAGGTTGGCCTTTGTCTCAGCTCCTAGAAGGTAACCTTTAAATGTAGGGATTTCCTGTGTGTAAGGAATATCTTTGTTATTTATGATGGGGCCCTCAGACCACACTCCATAAGTGTATGTTAATGAAGGAACTCAGGATGGAGGCTGGCCAGACAGAAGGAGCAACCTTGTGAGGCTTAGGGCAACCATGTGGGTAATGATTCAATCAATCACGCCTATGTAATTGAAGTCCCAATAAAATCTATGGCTGTTGAAGCTTGGGCAAGCTTCCCAACTGGCAGTACGTCATGTGTACTGGCATACATCAGTGACAGGAGGCTAATGCATCCCTGCGACCTGGAAGCTCTGTCCTCGTCTAGGCTTCTTCCCTATGTGTTCCTTCCTTTGGCAGGTTCTTATTTGTTTTCTTTTACTATAATGAAACTGTAGTCATAAGTAGCACTTTCCTGAGTTCTGAGTTGTTCTAGTATATCATTAAATCTGAGGGAGTCTGTGTGAGCTTTCAAATTTATAGGCAACTAGTCTGAAATAAGGATGACCCTAGGAACCCCCAAACTTGCAACAGGTTTCAGACAGGGCAGATTTGACAGTCTTGGAGGACTGTGTACTTAACATTCAGTATGCTCTATGTCTAGGTAAAGAGGCAATGATAAGTCAAGAAGATTGAATGTAATCCAAAAATGTTTAAAATTCTTCGGAAAGAAGTATGGAGAATCTTCAAAGAACTTAGAATAGACTTTCCATGTGATCCCACAATCCTAGTACTAGGTATTTACCCAGAAGAAAAAAAAAATCATTTTATCATAAGGATATTTACACTAATATTTTTTTCTACTTTTATAGGGGATACCATGATTATAGTTCCCCACAACCACAAATTATGCAGTCGAGTTCCCCACATTTGGGGAAATCACAGGGGTCAGCACATCCGGAGTGCAATGGATAAGCCTCACCCTGGGAAAATCACCTTCGTGATCATGTTATCTCCCCTATGGGGTAAGTATGGGCTATATTGTTTATTGCAGCTCACTTTATAATCACCAGGACATGGAATCAATCCAAGGGCTCATTAACCCACAAATGGATTAACAAACTTTGATATACATATACTATGAAATATTTAGCCATAAAAGAGACGGTTTACATCTTTTGTATTAACCTGGATGGAGTTATAGAACATTCTCCTTAGTAAAATAGCACAAGAATGGAAAAGCAAGTATCCAATGTACTCAATATTAACATGAAGGCAATAGACAAACAAATGCAGGCCCACGAAAGAGAAAAACTCAATTAAATTCAAATTAGGGGACGGAGGGAAGAAGTGTAGGGGAGAGGACAGGAGGGAGGAGGATTGGCGTGCTGTCACCTAACAGGCACAATATAAGGGCACATGGCACACTTCCTGGGTGAGGGGCATAACTACAACAGGAACTTAACAGATGCAAACCAAGTAACCTCATAGTTTGTACCTTCATATTAATCTGAAATTTTAAAAAAAAGTTTAAAAAGCAGGTAGAACTCTAGGCCTCTCCTTATACTGCATTTCTGGGTGGTTGCTCCTACCCCCAATTAGGCAGAAGACTGGAGGTTTTTTGCTTAGAAAGGATAAAGTCACAGGTTTTGAGGATTGACAGATACCCAGAACAACTGAGGATAGTAGTATCCTGAAAACAGGAGGATTAAGTAAATCCAGGCATTTTGATTAATCCTGAAAACAGGAGGATTAAGTAAATCCAGCCCTCTTTCCTCACATGAATCATCAAACACTGGCAGCAACACCTCTACCCTCTAGTCAGAAGCCCAGAAGTTCCCTCTCTAAAAGACCTGATCAGTCTGAAGAGACAAGGTGATACTGACATTGGCACATTGAGGGCAATGTCATCTTGTCAGGAGGCCCATCCAGGTATTTGGAGCATTACTTTCACTTTCTAAGCTCCTCCTCCTAAATAGGAGCAGGCAGTCAAGGGTTAGGGAGATTTAAGGAAAAATTGAATAGGAGTAAGAGAGCCAAAGTACTCAGTAAAAATGTTAAACCTGAAGTAAACTCTCTACACAGAAAGAAATGATTTGAGTGAAAAAGATTATCACAGAAAAGACATTATACCTAAAACAAAAAGAGGATGCTACATGTTAAAAGAAATATTTGTAGAACAAAATAGCACTTTGGAAAATTAAAATATGACAGCAAAAATGAAAACCTCAATATATTATTTGAAAATAAAGTTGAGAAAATCTCACAGAAAGTAAAGTAAGAAGGTTAACACATATAATTTAGGAGCGAAAAGGTTAAAAATTAGTTACCTATCCAGGAGGTCCAACATCTATAAAATATGATTCTCAAAGGCAAAGGGAAAGGAAAAGGAGAAAATCATCAGTGAAATCTTTCAAGAAATGAAGGACAAGAGTTTCTAGATTTAAAACACTCATCTACTATAAGGTGACCAGATGTCCCGCTTCTGGCAGGACAGTCCCAATTTTTAACAATTTGTCCTGCATCTCGCAGCATTTTTAAAAAGTCCCAATTTTTGGAAAGAATGCATGACAAGCTAGGGGACAGCAGGAGAATGGGAAGGGAATATACGGTTTTTGGCTGCCGAAAAGGTTAATGTAATTCCATTTGGGAATGAAGAGGTTAATGTAACTTCATTTGGAAATGAAAAGGCTAATGTAAACTCCTTACTCCCCTCCTGGGCAAGGTATCAAAAGGAGACTGGCTCCCTCTCTTGCTTCTAGGCAAGGACAATTAGCTCAGAAGGAGCCAAACTCTCTGGAACAAATAAGTAGGAGCCCCCTCTCCCCAGTAAGGTGCCCAGACATCCCACTTTTGGAGGGATAGTCCCAGTTTTTAACAATTTGTCCTGCATGCATCCTGTGGTGTTTTAGGAAAGCCCTGATTTTTGGAAAGAATGGACAAGCTAGGGAACATGAATATACAGTTTCCGGCTGCCACGTGGCTATTTCGCCAGGATATGTGTTTTATATTATTTTTGTTAATTTTATAATGTTAAACTTTAATAATAACAAATAATTGTTGAGAACTGATTATCAAGAACTGCTTATCAAAGTTTGCATTATTATCAAGCCCCGCCCCTCCCAATGGTGTCCCGCTTTACCAATGTTAAAATCTGGTCACCTTAATCTACTATAAGAGACACACACCAAAAACATATTATTTGAAATCTCAGGGAAATGAACTTTGGAGTGGAGATAGAGAGGCATCAAAAAAGGATCATAAATTGGATGCTTTGAATGTCTCCACAGAACACTGGAAGCCAGAAGACAACATTTTACTTAAGAAGGAAAAAGAATTCTAGCCTAATTTAGAAAAATATAGACTGATGATCAATGTAACAATAAAGATATCTTCATACACTCAAAATAAAAAACACCCCAAACTATCAATCTCCCAAACACTTTTCTTAAGAGATACTAGAGGCTACACCCTACCAACACAAAGGATTAAACTAACAAGTCATGAGATGCAGAAAACAGAAGGTATAGCTCCCCAGGTGAGGTGGAGGGGAAATCCCAGGGTGGCAGCTGTGTATCAGGCAAGAAACGTTTCCAGCCCCGTCTGCTACAGGTCAGAAGGCCCCTTGGCAAGACTGCTTCAAAAAATGGACAATGAAAGGAAATGTGATGTGAATTAACATATCCTGAAGAGATTTACTCAATAATTAAGAATCGGGTTCAAATTTGAGATAAATGAATAAAAAATTAAGTAAATAATAAACTCCAAAAAAGAAACAAAAAATTGTGCAAAATATAGAACAAGAACCATATTCCTCTGTGTGGTTTAGTTATAAATTGTATTTGCTTCTTCTTAATAATTTAAATGTTGCTACAACTCAAATCACTACATAATTTTACAGGGAGAATGGGGGGAATGAAAAGTGTGAATCTATGCACACATGTGCACATGCACTCCTTTGAGAAAGAGTGTGAGAGAGAGAGACAGGGCAGAGAAACGAGCTAAATATATTTTCATCTTTCCTGGTGAGAAGTTATTAGCTAGGGCTAAGAAAAAAATAGGAAATAGAGATACCATCCTATTGTTTCAAGATGGAGATATTACCAAAAAATCAGTTAAAAGATGCAAAGTATAGGCTGGGTGTGGTGGCTCACACCAGTAATCCTAGCATTCTGGGAGGCCAAGACAGGTGGATCCTTTGAGCTCAGGATTTCAAGATCAACCTGAGCAACAGCAAGACCTCATCTCTAGAAAAATTAGCCACGTGTTGTGGCAGGCACCTGTAGTCACAAATACTTGGGAGGCTGAGGCAAGAGGATGGCTTGAACCCAGGAGTTTGAGGTTGCTATGAGCTATAATGATGCCACTACTCTCTATCCAGGGTACTCTATCTCAAAAAAAAAAAAAAGGAGGAAAGTGGTTGCCTTTGGAGAATGGGAAATAGAAAAGCAGAGAGTCTGAGGACTGCTGTTTGTCTTAAGGAACTTCAGAACTACTGGACTTAACTATTTATAAGCAAACATAAAACTTAAAAATAAGGAGGCAGCTGTGGCTCAAACAAGTAGGGCACTGGCCCCATATACCATAACCTGGTCTCAGCTAAAAACTGAAAAAACAAAAAAAACCTAAATTAAAAATTTAAAGGGTTTCTTTTTTACACACAGGGTTTTGAAACTCTCTGGTGCATTGAGTATTTCCAAATGGCGGATAGGAATATAGAGTGCATTAGTTCCTAAACTTACTTGACTAGAAAAAAACATTTTTTTGTTTTTTTGTCTTTTGATTTTTATACAGAATGTCATAAGACTGGATGGGGGATAACTTGGTTGATGCTAAATTTAAAGTGCTAAGTTCAAAATTCTGCCTACCCGTTCCTAAAACACTGTATTTTTTTTTTAGTACAAAATGCTTACTGTGGCTCAATTCAATAATAAGGTTGTATTTGTTTCATTCAAATAATCCCTATAAAAAAGAATGGTTTTCTATGAACTAAACCTAATTTCATGATGAAAACCACAAAGGATGAAGTGATCAAGTTGAAGGTGAGGTTATTTCATTATTTGTCCCATGAGTAGATACACTGTTGAGTGAATAACTTTTATTTTCGAAGACAACTGAATCAGGCTGAGATATCAAATAATAAATTAAGCCAAAGCTTTCAATAACATTACCTTTTGCTTTTGCTTTCATGCTGTAACATGAGAACACATCAAATAACTACCCACACTGCTATTCTTTCATAAACAGAAGGCATTTTACGGGTGATGCACTCTCATAAAGACCAGGATTTTCAAAAGCATTATTTCTATTCACTATTATTTCCTACTCACCCTAAAGTCCTAGACATGCAAAAAGAGTTTTCTTTAGAAGACTCTGATCAGATTAAAAAATACTAATGGGAGATGGCATGATTCTTAATATCCAAAGATTTGACAAGATCAGAGATCCTCCCTCTGAATGTTCTTTATTACAAAAGGAATAGAAAAGTCTTCTATCATGCTGAAACAATTTCAGTGAGGTAGAACCTATTTTAAATATTTTACAATGGTTTTGCTTAAAATTTACCAAGTTCATTAAAAAGTCAAGCATTTCAGCCCTATCAGCCATCTACATTGAAGGTGGGTGTCTGATAAAGTATGACTTATTCCAGAACGAATTGGTGTTTTGAAAAATAAACCCTAGAATAAAAGTTATATATCATAGACTTTAAAGAAAAATAAAATATATATTTTCTAGTGGGAAGTAGATGGTGTAAGCTCATAAATATTTTTGTTCAATTTGTGCTAGCAGACAATAAAAGCATGAAATATGAACCAGCTTAGCATAAATTTACCTTCACTGAAATTTTGCCTCTTTTTAAATAATTATGTATCCTCTTGCTTAAAGAAATAAATAGCAGCATTGGGAAATGCTGGGTAAGAGCTAATGACTTAAAAGCCTCTAAAAAGACCCAACAAGATTTTTCATCAACCTTAGAAAATTAGTCACAGATTGATGATTACCAGATACTTTGCTAGACTGTCTTTCAGCAAA